GGGGCCACGCAGACGTGCCCTCTATCCCCGACCCAGCCACAAAGTACCACGTGGGCCCCGGGGAAGGGGAGGGAAAGGAGGAAGGCAGAGAAACGCTGAGTCCGAACGCCCTCCCCACGCCCACCCCCGAGACCACAGCCACACACGCTCCCATGTGTTCCCGAGGCACGGCGGATGGGGAGCCCTCCCCCAAGACTCTGGGGTCCTCAGACTTGGCACCTGGAGGCCCCCAGTGGCGCCCGGCCAAGCCCTGGAGGGTCCTTGGCCCTAAAGACTTGGAAGGAGGTGACTGGTCTGATCCCTGCTGGGACAGGTGGGGAAAGTGAGGCACCAAGGGATGTGAGGTCAGAGCCCGCATTTTCAACCCGGGGCTCCAGCCTCTCAATCCCTGGGAGGCGTCCGTCCCAACAAGAGGGGTCAGCGCTGGGAGCAGAAGTTCAGAAAGGGCGGTCTGGTTTCCTGAGGCCCAAGATGCTGACAAGCAGCACAGCAAGCAAGCACTTACTGGGCGCCTGGTGTATGCAGGGGGCTAGCTCCGCAACATTTCACCCTCGGACAGCGCTGAGTGCCGGGGCCGCCACGGTCCCCACACGATAAAACTTTAGGCACAGAGAAGCAAGGCTTTTGCTTCGACGCACGGCCAGCCGGCGGCCGAGCCGAGCCGTGAAACGGGCTGGCTCACAACTGACTCAGTCTCTCCAGAAGGTCTAAGGCGGGGCCTGCTGCGTCTTTAACCCCGTCCACAGCCTCAGCTCCGCCCCTTGGACACGTGACAGTGTCCCTGGCGTTACATCACCATTACTTTCTTTCTTACTGACTTTTCCCAGTAACCTCCAAATGGCCCAAAGGGACAACGGATTTCCTCTCCTAGCGATGCTACAATGTATCTCGTTCAACGAATTCAGTTACTCCCGAGACTTTTCCCAACAGCTTCCAGGGCCGGACGGGCTGGCAAGGTCCCTCGGAAAACAACGTCCGTATCCAACAAAAGGGGACCGGCTAAACGTATCCTGGGACCAGGGTGCGTCTCTCACTACTAGGGAAGGAACAGCAAGGGACAGATGTTGTCGCGTGGGAAAAAGGACAGCGGATGTTCCTGTTTGCGTGAAAAGAAACATAAAAAGGGCCAAAGAGAAATGGGGCGGGGGGGGG